ATTATATATGTTGTAATCATCAATATTTTTGATGATTACAACATATTCTGATTATTATTATATATTATTATTTATCTTAATACTGCATGAATTGCATTCTTTAAGTTATATAGATTCTCTTTTTATATAGTTTTGTTCTTGATGACTTAATTAGATTGATTTCCACTCTCTTACATATCTCTTTTTTTCTTATTTCCAAATTCAAACTCTGTCTTCCTGCCCTTATCAGGTTCGCCCCATCCTCGTGCCCTTGTTCATCTCACCCTCGGGACGTTGATCGGAACCCTATTTTTAGATCGGTGGCTTTTTTCCCTATTTTTAGTAGGGGGGGGGGGGGGGGGGGGGGGAGGAGTTGGTGGAGAATCTGGAGATCAATCGCATCAGTTTTTTCTGGCACATATTTGGGTGAGTCTGACATTGAATCTGATGGCCGCTCCCAATGATAGCCGTCAACCTTTGTGCCGACTGGATCCCGGCGGATTCACCGTGTTGCTGACGCCGTCGCACTCATCTCTTCCAGCCTGTCTGGTGTTCATGGGGCGCCCCTGGTATACCCCCCTTCTTCCTCCCACAATGATATCCATTTTCAAATTTCACCACCCAATCCCAATTCCAATTTTTGAGTGCTCTACATCATTCAGTCACAAGGCCTTTTTTCCTGTTTTGAAACAAAAACAGTCTTCTACTTCTGTCAAATTTCGACTCCACCGTTCTCTCTGTCTGGCATAAAACTTCCACGAAGTCGTTCGTTGTCCATTCCATTAGGGAAAATTGCAGATATACCCTCCGTTGCAAGAAGCATCGTAGCAATAATACCGGTCTGCCTGTGTATTGTGACAAATATGCCCGGCAAAGTGGCAGAAATACCCTTTTTCTAAGCAGATTTACCGGGCGGTTCTTTTTCCTTCTTTTTGTTTCCCAAAGAAAACCATTTCTAAACAAGGTAAAAGGACGCCGGGGACCTCACAATTCGACCTGGAGTTATCGCGGCAAGTACACTGCGGGACCTCCCTTTGCAACAGAGGACCCGCCTGCCTTGTTTGCCTCATGCCAGAGATACGGGAAGGAGTCCGGGGATCTGTGGTACCTCCCTTTGCAACAGAGGACCCGCCTGCCTTGAAGTGTTTGCCTCAGGCCAGAGATACGGGAAGGAGGCTGGGGACCTCACAATTCGACCTGGAGTTACCGCGGCAAGTACACTGGTACCTCCCTTTGCAACAGAGGACCCACCTGCCTTGAAGTGTTTGCCTCAGGCCAGAGATACGGGGACTCTGTCACAGACGGAAGGAGGTATCGCCCGGTAAATCTGCTTCTGGAAATTTTCAAAAGCGGTATTCCATTTCAGGGTATTTCTGCAACTTTGCCGGCTACTTTCCAGGTATATTTGTGGCCATACAGGGGCGGACCGGTGGACTTGCTTTGGTACTTCTCCAAACTGGTATTTCTGCAACTTGCCCATTCGATTATTATCATTCAATAATGGAGTCCCACCCAAACAGGGGCTCATACCATTTCGACAACCACGACGAGCCCTGCACCCCTTATCAAGTTCTGACTGACTTCAAGGAAATAAGGGGTGAGAGGGGTGGCGAGAAGTGGGCAGAGGGGACGCGCGATAGCAAGGTTGGATGCCCCGTCCTACCCCCACCCCCCCCCAAAAAAAAAGGGGGCGAGTTTGGTTGTGAAGGATTTTGAAAAGGGCAACAAAGTCACACACGGGCAACAAACTCGCGCGCCAAGTTCGAAAGAGCAACAAAAACATTTTTACCCGCACGGCGCGCGCTCCATTATTATCATTCAATAATGGAGTCCCACCCAAAGAGGGGCTCGTACCATTTTGACAACCACGACGAGCCCTGCATCCCTTATCAATTTCTGACTGACTTAGAGGAAATAAGGGTTGAGAGGGGTGGTGAGAAGTGGGCAGAGGGGGACACGTGATAACAAGGTTGGATGCCCCCTCCTCCCCCCACCCCCCCTCCCCCGCGGAAAAAAGGGGCCAGGATTTTGAAAAGGGCAACAAAATCACACACGGGCAACAAACTCACGCGCCGAGTTCAAAAGAGCAACAAAAACATGTTTACCCGGGCGCCGAGTTCGAAGAGGGCAATGAACTCGCCCTCCGAGTTTGAAAAGGGCAACAAATCCACACGCGGGCCATAGCCATTTTTATCGATATCGCCCTTTCCAAACTCAGCACCCAATTTGGTTGCCTGGACATGTTTTTTCTGCCCTTTCGAAACTGGAAGTTTGACACTGCTGCTAAACCCTAAACCCTGAACCCTCGACCAGCAACCCTCGACCCTCAACCCTAAAACCCAAGAAAAAAAAGAAGATTGGATGGCCCCGTCCTCTTTCAATTTGATGAAGGGCCGGAGGAAATATGGGATTAGGGGGGGAGGAGAGGAAGCTGTATTGTTTTCTCCTGAGGCCTGAGGGGGAGGAGAGGAAAAGGTTTGTTGGGGATAATTTGATGAACAACTTGATTTATATAAATAAACAACAGGGGGGCAGGGCACCCAGGGTTGATCTTGCGATAGGCGATCGGAAGGTGGGAGGACCGCGATGGCCCAGGGATGAGGAAGGGAGGAGGTGCAGTTGGCAAGTGGTATGGAAAATTGTAGGCAGGTCTGTGGTGGTGCTGTTTTTCGATTTTCGTGTTTGGTGGCGGCGGTTTTTTCCCCGGAGGGGGTGGGCGGGCGGGTGTGAATGGCACTTGGAAATGGGCCCGCCAAAGTTTCGGGTGGGTTGGTTGGCGCCCGTCGATCTAAGGTGCGGGTATGGCAAGCACGAACGTGTGATATTGTGTGTGTGTGTGTGTGTGTGTGTGAGAGAGAGAGAGAGAGAGAGAGAGAGAGAGAGAGAGAGAGAGAGAGAGGGAGGGAGGCAGTGTTTACCTATGTTCTGGCGGTAGATTCATTCGATTTTGCTCATCCTATCGATGCGGAATATTCTTTCGATTTTGCTCATCCTTTCGATGGAAGTAGAGGGTTTGGAAACTGTTGGACAGTGCGTTGCTCATCCTATCAATAGAAATCTCTCTCTCTCTCTCTCTCTCTCTCTCTCTCTCTCTCTCTCTCTCTCTCTCTCTCTCTCTCTCTCATGCGCGGTGACATTTGCATCTGACAGCTCCTTAGTTCATACTCAAACTGGGATTTATTTTCAATGATTCTGTTTGTTGCCGTGTATCTTCCTACGTTCTTGCAGAAGATTCCTTCTCATTTCGCACATTGGCAGGCTGCTCACTTGATGCACACATGAAACTGTTGAATTGCAGAAGTGAGTTCGAATCCACCAGCGACCACTACAAAATAGTTCTGATTTACAAAGGATCCGACGGCGTGCTGCTGCCTTTGCCGAATCTCCCCCCGAATGCTGTGCGGCTTTCATGTTCTAAAACAAACACCCTCAATGTTGCCCCGGCCAGATAATGGCCGTGCCTGAGGTGGGGCTGGTGCTGGGCTGCGGCTTTGCCGCGGCAG